AATTGAGGATCTGTCCCTTCATAATGTGGACTCATGACACCGTCTTCTTTCAACACCAGCACCCGCCACACCCAGGAAGGAAGCCCCGTTTCACGAGGGAGTGCCGCCCACGCAGAGGCCCCCGTGGAGACCCCCAGAGCCGGCTTGCGGGTAGAGCCTCCCGTGGTTGAAGGAAAAGGGGTGCTTGAGACCAAGGAATGACCAACGTGCCTCACAGATGTGACCGAGGCCAGCAGGCACGTGGGTACAGGGAGGGACCCCCGCCGGCACTTGGAGATGCTGTCCTTCCAGAATCTGTCTGCTCCATCTCCAAACCCGCTTCACAGGTCCACCCCTCCCCCACTAGTCTTTCCACCTCATGAGACCCTCCAACTGCGAGCTCGGGGCCTGCTCCTCCCAACCTTCAGAGACGAGGCTTGCTCATGAAGCCAGGCTGCTGCTCTGCTTCCTCTGCTGGCTGTGGCTCCAGAGCTCCTGTGTCACACACCCGTCCTCTCAGGTGGTGCAGTGTTTGGGGATGTGGGTGACAGAGCCGGGGCTCCGACCCGTCCTGGTGGCCTGTTTCCCGTCAGACTCAGAACACGCCTCCCATGGAGATGTGACCTGAGGTGTGGGTCACGCTGCAGGACTCAGTGGCACGTGCGTGTCCTGCAGCGACTCCACACAGCGCCTTCCTAATGCCCTGGAAGGAGGCAGGGGACAGACAGCTCCTCCCAGGTGTGGCTGAACTGTGCACGGGGCGGGTGCACCTCCTGTGGAACAGAGCTCGCTGGCGGGATGTCCCGTTCCTCCTTGTTCCCCGGGGAAAGACGGGATGGCAGGGGCCACCGCGATGGCAGCGGATCATGCCTGTGGGGGGCAGCGCTGGGTCCCCATCTGGGTGGTTAGAGAGACCCGATGGGTGCCTTGAAGGACAGCTGTGAGGGCCGAGCCCCAGTGGGGGAGGCTGTGGACTGGGGGGGCAGCAGGCTAGCCTGGCCGCATGCTGAAGTCGGTGGGGCACGGGAAGGGGCCGCTGCCAGAGGGCAGCCTCACGCCTGGCTGGCTTCCTCTCAGAGTGAATGGGACACGCCTCCTCCGCTGCAGTCACGCATCAGGAGGAGCGCCTGCTTCTCAGTGGCACGGAGCAGCTTGCGTATTTCTCACAGCGTGTCCCTGAGGCGGCCTTAGTGCTGCGTTCCAGGTGCAGGTCCTCCTCCGAATTCAGCACTAGGGAACGGGACAGCCCCCCCTCCGTCTTGTGTTGATCTCAAGGGGACACAGAGGGCACAAGTCACATCTGCTCCCATCTCTTAGCAAAATCAAGCCACAGGGCTCTGGCCGGTGCTGGCACCCCACCTAAGAGCCCAAGTGGGCTGATGGAGGGCAGGATGGGTCAGTGAAATTGTGGGACTTGTGTATCACAGAGTCTTGTCCAGCCTCAGTAGGGCAGTGTGGACGGGCCTCGAGGCCAGTGTGCTACGTGAAATAGGCCAGTTGTGAAGGACTGGTGAGGGATCTGCTTATCTGAGGCACTTCGAGGAGTCAAATTCCTAGGGACAGGAGCTGGTCACCAGGCTGGGCTAGGCTGGGCTCCGGCAAGCATGGAGGAATGGGTGCGGAGGTTCCCTGGGGAAGAGGTGACGTTGCCTGGAGCGAGTGGGGTTCGCGTGTGAGCATGCGTGTGTGCGCGCGTGTGTGTGTGTGTGTGTGTGTGAGGGCGGGACGCAGAGAAGAGACGCTCAAGTCTGAGCGCTAAGCCAGAGGCTCCGACACCAACTCCAGGAAGCTCGGGAGGGCCCTGCAATGTCCTGGTCACTAAGGATCCGCGCAGGTGAGGAACCCAGGGGAGCCCACCTGGGAGGCGGGCTGATGTCGTCGGTGCACTGACGCTGAGCAGGTCTGACTTCGCTGCTCACAGGGTCAGGAGGCAGCCTGCTGGACCACACCCCGGTGGCTTCCCCACACCCACGCAGCGTGCTGCCCTGGGGTGTCTTAAGGGACTGGAACCTGGGCCTCGGGACTTCAGGAGCTCAGCTCTGCTCCAGTGACCGTCAGGGAAGTTCTGTGACCTCCTCTGCAGAGCCTAGATGTGACTGTTAGGTCTGCATAGAGCAGAGATCAGAGAGGGCCCCCGGGGAGACCAGGAAGTGGCCGAGGTCTCCCTCCAGGGGGTGCCCATCCATGCGGGGGCTTCCTGCTGGGCGCATGGGAAGAAAGGAGCCTGGCCAGGGTGTGGTGACCCACTGGAGAGGGTGGACAGGTGAGGGACAGCTGGCCCCACAGGTGTGCCCAGCACAGACCTGCCCTCCGTCTCTGGTCCCTCTGCCCCCGTCTCTTCCCACTGGCGTCCCCGGGGACACACCTCTTGGGACAGCACTGATTCTTCTCATTCTGGGTCACAAAAAGTAAGAAGAGAAGTTTGGTTTTTGTCCTAGTGACTCCTGACCTGGGGTTAAACTCCCCTTGACTCTGTCCTCCCTCTCTCAGGTCAGACCACAGGACGGTGACACGGGCACGGCTCCCTCCTAACATATGAGGAAATGCCCTGCTCAACTGCTCAGCCCAGGTCCCTGGTGGCCTCAGGGGGACGGGTGGCTCTGCTCTGTCACACAACTTCTTCCTATGACGTCTTCACTCTGTGCAGAGACAGAGCAGCCTCCTGCCCCATACCTGCTCCCACCAGGCCCACAGCTTGTTCCCATGTCCCCTGTGAGCCTGGCCCACGGGGGCACCTACAGGTGCTCTGTCTCCTCCAGGGACAGACCCGGCCTCTGGTCTCTGCCCAGGGACCCCCTTGAGATTTTGGTCACACTTAATGTCTCTGACTGCAGCAGTGTCTCTGTCCCAGGTGTGACTGAGGAGGATGTCAGCACAGGTGTGAGGGACCTTCTTGCCCTGTGGGACACTTGGGCCATATGTCATGTGGCCCCTCGTCACGTCCAGGGTGGGTGCTGAGCCACGAGAGTCTCTGGGGGAGGCCCGCTGAATCTGGCCACGTGGCCGTGTGTCACCTGCACCCAGGGGCTTCCTGAGCTGGGCTGTGAGAGCACTGAGGGCACCCACCCCCTGTGTGGTCCCCCCACACCTGCCCGGGCCTTGCTGCAGCTGGACGGCAGGAGGAGAGGGAGGTGGCAGGACATCTGCAACCAGGAGACGTCTTGGTGAGCCCCCCTCTCTGCCAGCAAGCTGGTGAGGAGCACCCAGGATGGGAGAAGGGTGGTCACGGGATCGACGTCCAGGGTGTGTGGACATGCTTGGGACCCTGGGGCCACAGTGGCACTTGGTGCTTGGGGCTTGTAATTCCAGGAAGGGCGGACAAGAGTGTCCCACAGCCAGGAGGCCAGTGAGCCGGGAGGAAGGGGGAGGAGGGTGGGGGTCCAGGAAGGAGTCAGCAGTGAAGGTCCAGCAAGGGACCTCAGCTGGCACAACGTGGGGACTGGACGGTGAGACTGGTCCCTGGAGGGGCCGTGCAGCATCTGCCATGCCTCTGTGGACATGCAGGTGGAACCCAGAAAGCCCCCCGAATTCCCGTTAGCACTCACAACTGTGCATCTGCATGTGTGGACCTGCAGGTGGACGGCCATCCCCGAGCCCCTAGAGCTGCAGGTCACCTGGAGCATCCTGTCCACTTCAGTGTGCCCTGAGCCTCACCCTGGTGTCTGGGGTCTGCGACCTGAGCAGCTGAGCTGGGGGTAGGGAGCCCGAGAGCCAGACGGCTCCCTGTTTCCACCCCGTCAGCGTCTGCGGTCCTCTGAGTCTCCACGCCAGCGAGGGCCGGGCAGCAGCCTGTCTGGACAGATCTGCAGAAGGAGCAGCCGGTTCCGCTCCCACAGGGTGGGCACCACCTGGCCTCGGGTCCTCGGGTGGGGGTCAGATGGTGGTGGGAGCCTCCATTTACAGGAGGACACTTGTACCCTTGTCCTGGGAGCCATCTCCAGACCCACACATGCCCAGGGAGGAAGGGCTCATCCCCTCCTGCGGGCGAGGACTTAGCTGTGGGGTTTGCCTCCGTGGACTTGGGGGGACTTGCTGTGGGTTGGGGTCAAGTTCTCCCCTTTCCTTCCTAGAATCCTCTCCCGTCCCAGGAAGGGGAGCACAGTCAGCTGGCTGCCTTCTCCTGTTGGTCCAGCTCTATGGCTGGCCGCCTGGCGGGGCAGCAGGGGTGTACCTGGGCAGCAGGGAGCCCAGCTGTGGGTGCCACCAGAGAGCCACCAGGTGGTCCCCAAGACAGAGATACAGGGTGACCATGGGCAGAGCCCACTGACTCTTGGGTGTGCAGTGAGGGGGGCGGAGGCAGCTGCCCAGTGGCTGGGCCTCAGGAAAGGCCTGGAGCCGTCCACCAGGAGGCGTGGTCTGTGTGGGCCCAGGGTCACCGTGGCTGCAGAGGGAAACCCAGCGTTAGGGTCTGCAGTGTCCCGAGGCCTCCTGTGCTCAGAGGTGGGCTTCTGGGGAGGCAGTGGACCCTGAGGACTCGGTGGACATCTGGGAGGTGGGCACTGGCTGGGTGGACACGGGGTGTGTCCTCAGGGGACTCGCTCCCACACCTCCTCTCTCCTCCCTGGCTGCCCTGAGCCACAGCGTCCTCTGCTCCCGTCCACCACGTGTCCCTCCTCACCTCAGGCCCGAGCAGCGGATCCCTGCCCAGAGCCTGGAACCTCTGAAGCTGGACCCAAGCCCGTCTCCTTCCTCAGGGGCTGTCCCTGGGTGTGTGGTCCCAGCAGTGAGAGGCTGGCTGTCACCGCCCTCCTGGGTCCCGCAGGCCCTTCCTGCACAGTCGCAGAGTGGGGTCGGCCCAGCCCACCCAGAGTCCCCAGTCTTAGGAGGAAGCAGGGGCCTCCTCCCCCCGTGCAGGCCGCGAGCCCCGGTCAGGCGTGGGCACCCCTCCCACGTCTCTGAGGCTCGAGGACCAGAGGAGGAAAAAGACTCAGCCTGAGGGGTGCTGGCCAGGGCAGAGCCCGTCCTGCGCCGGGAGCCCTCCCCTTCCTGTGTGGCAGCCAGTGTCACCATTGTGTGAGGAGGGGCTCCAGGGCCCGGACGGCTCCAGCCCTGGGTGTGTCCCATGAGGCTCCTGAGCGGCCAGCTGGGTGTGAGGGGACCTGGGCCCAGCTCGGCCATGGCCACAGGGGTCTCTGTGCTGCTGGGACTAGGTGAGCGCGGAGGGGACGAGCTGGGTGGGAGGGTGCAGATGGAGAGGCTCGGCCTGGTCCTCCTGGGGACTCCCCCCGGGTCCTGGCCAGGGGCTGGCCGGATCAGCCACGGCCCAGCGTCTGCAGCAGGTCTGGGCCCGAGCTCAGGGGAGGGGTCCCGGGTCCCGGGCGCTGCCCTCTCACCAGGCCCCCCCATTGCAGTGCTTTTCCTGGAGCAAAGGACCCAGGCCCAGGAAGGTGAGTGTCCCCTTCAGCCCTGGGCAGCTCTGGGTCTGGCAGCGTGGGCCTGGGGGGGAAGTGGAGCCTCGGACTCCTGCCAGGGACCTGCCAGGTTCTGGGCCCACAGTCTCCGTTCTGGGTTGGCCTTGACTGAGGTGTCCGTCTGACAAGGGGGTCTCTCCTGGCATCCAGAGATCTGCCTGGGAACAGCACAGATGGACATGGACACTCAGGGCCAGGGCTGGGACTTTGCCGGGGACCCACTTCCTCCTGAGAATGGCAGCTGTGATGCTTCCTGGGTGTGGTGTTCTTCTGCTGGGGTCACCTGGGCAGCTCTGGCCCTCTGCTCTCTGAGAGGTCAGCTCAGGGCCTCTTGCTCCGACAATGCAGAGCGTGGCCCTGTGTGGCTCTGGGCCTCTGCCAGCTCCTGCCCCAGTTCCCAACTGCAGCTCCTCTCCCTCAGGGTGCCTCCCCTGCTGGGCTGAGCTCTTCCTGATGTCACCCACTTCCTGATTCTGGGTCACTTCCTGGATCAGGTCTGCTAAGGCCTTGGGCCTGCACCAGGATGTTGAGGCTGACCTGAGCCTCCGTGGGCTTCCAGCAGGTGCAGGTTCCTGGTCTGATTCCCAGGTCTGTGGTCCACATGAGGTGACTGTGCAGGGTGACAGGCGGGGTCTAGTTCCCTCCTCCCCATGTGGACAGCCCGTTGTCCCTGCACCCTTGGTGGCAAAGGCTGCTTTCCTGCCCTGTGTGTCCTGGGCACCTTGGTCCTCACCAGGGGACTGTGTCTCTGTGGGTCTGTCCTGTGTCTTCTGTCCTGTACCAGGTCTATGTGCCTGTTTGTGTGCAGTTTGGTGCAGTTTTGTTCCTGTAGCTCTGGGCGTGGTTGGGATCAGGTATTGGGATGACTCCAGTGTTGCTCTTCCTGCTCAGGACTGCTTTGGATATTCTGGGTGTTCGCCCAGCAGATGAGGTCACTTGATTTGAACAGAAGTTCAATTTAGGTGTAATTAGTTGAACCTTTGCATCGTGACTGGTTTACAGTGGGGTTGACTAGTCTGGGGTTCAGGTGCGTGGTTTCAGGGTGCAGGTGCGTGTGCCTACGTAGATGAAGAGTCAGGTGAGTATACTCAGGAGATACCTGGATGGCAGATACAGCTAGTGATGATGATGACAGGACTCTGTGGGTGGATAGTGACAGATGGTGGACAGTGACTCACTGAAGGTGGACAGGTGAGACTCATAGGTAGGATATGGACAGGGGCCAGGGGGCATCGCGGAAGACCCACACACATTTATAAAGAGAAAGCTGGGCAGGTGGGACAGTGACCTCTGGTGGAGGAGCAGTGACCCTGAGCCAGCACACATGTTGACCCTCCTCCCCAGCACGGAGGCTCGAAGGTGGCAGGACTTGCAGTAATTGTGGTTCTGCTTCATGCTCAGATCCGCCCTCCCGGCAGCCGGAGTCTGAGCCTCAGGTCCACAGGGTCACTCTCTGGACCTTGGCCCACGGCTTCCTCAGGCAGGCGTTCCCGAGCTCCTGGGGGATCCCTCAGCAAAGCCCAGCCCCAGCCGTGAGGGTCCGACCCTGGTCAGGGGGCTTTCCACCGCCAGGATGTGCAGGATGGACAGACAGACTGCAGGACGGAGCCCAGACACTCTGAAGCCTCGAGTTTGCCAAAGACAGGAGGCAGCCCAAGGGAGGGAGGCCACTCTTCAACGGAGACACTGGAGTGGAGCTCCAGGGGACCAGGGAGGGTCTCGGGTCACAGGCTTGGTGACGTCCTGTTGAGGGCAATTTAGGTCTAATAGATGACCCTCCTTCTGGTGGAGGGTGGAGGTCCCTCCCTGTCCAGGACACCACTCAGGGAGGCATGGCTGGATTCACATCCAGGTCACCCCTCTCGCCCCCCAGGATGGGCTGGGGCAGAGCCCTGGATGGGGCCCTCCTGACACCAGGTCACAGGTGACGGGGCTCTTCTGCTTCTCCCAGGGGTGCCCTCCATCTGGGCAGAGCCAGGATCTCTGGTTCCCCACGGCAGTGCTGTGACCATCGTCTGCAGGATTCCTCCAGGGGTGACACAGTTGCGTCTGTATCATGTGGAAACTAAGTTGTGGCGTGACAGAGACCCACAGGGAGCCCCAGAGGTGGCCCAGTTCTCCCTCCAGCAGGTGACACACAACCAGGCAGGGACTTACCACTGTGAATACTGGACAGAAGGACTCCCATCAGGACAAAATGACCCACTAGAGCTGGTGGTGACAGGTGAGGAGAGCCAAGGACACTGTCCCCAGCCACACACTCTGCCGCCCACCTCACTGACCCACGTGTGCCCAGAGCAGACCCTGCCCAGGGTCTCTGCCCAATGTGTGGGTCCCCTCCTGTGTGCTGACTGGGGTCCCAGCTGCCCAGAGAGGGGCTGCAGGTCCTGGGGGTGCTCAGCCTCCCACCATGTACAGCCACCCCCTGTCCTCGGTCCTGAAAGTGGGAGGAGTTTGTGTTTTGTCCCCTGATCCCTGAAGTTCATCCAGGTCAGCATCTCCTGGGTCCCCCTCCTCCTCCGACACCAGAGCAGGGGAGCCAGGGTCCATTTCATGGTGGTTTTAAAGCTGGATCTGTTTTCTTCCAGGAATGTACAAGGAGAAGCCCTCCCTGACTGCTGAGCCTGGTCCCCAGGTGGCCTCAGGGGGACAGGTGACTCTGCTCTGTCACACAACTTATTCCTATGACGTCTTCACTCTGTGCAGAGACAGGGCAGCCTCCCTGTCCCAGAAATGCTCCCACCAGACCCACAGCTCGTTCCTCATGTCCCCTGTGAGCCTGGCCCACGGGGGCACCTACAGGTGCTATTTCTCCTCCAGGAACAGACCCCACCTCTGGTCTCTGCCCAGTGACCCCCTTGATCTCCTGGTCACAGGTGAGTGCGTGTCTGACCGCTGTGCCTTTGCCCTGGACAGGGGTGTCTCGAGGCGTTCAGGTCGGCCCCCACACTGTGTGGTGGTGCCCTCACCGGGTCCTAGCCGTGGTCACTCTGTGTGATTTCTGGACCCTGAGCACTTACATATTCATTGTGACAATTTGGGGCAGATGTAAGTAAGTGGCTGGGACAGCGATGTCCTTTCCCATCCATGGGGAGATGCTCCATGACCTAGTGACAGGCTCGTGGACCAGAGTCCCCAGCGATGGAGTGGTCCGTTGGTGCCTGTTACCTCCTGCAGTCCCTTCCCCTCAGCCCCTCTCTGTGTGGGGACAGTCAGCATGTCACTAACTGGTGACACACATGTTACAAATGTCTCTGAAGTTTCTTCATGTAGGTGAATTTCTGGGTCCCCTTCTGTGTGATGCTGTGACAGCCGTTGTACCTCAGAGTGGCCATTTGTGGGTGGACACAGTGGATGGTCATCTATGCAGGGTGCCCAGGATGGACTTATGTCCAGGACCCTGCAGGCTGGCCAGGGAGGTACAGCTCCTGCCTTTGCTCCGGTGGCCAAGTCCCCAGGCCTTCCCCTTTCTGGGCAGCTGGGACTTCCCAGGTGTCAGGGAGGGGACATGCTCCAGCCAGGGGTGACCCAGGGGACACGAGCACAGAGGGGTGAGAGACCCTGCTGGGGCCTTCTGACGTGACTGGTCAGTGTGACAGTGGCCTGGGTTAGGGTGGACATGTGCAGCCGGCCCCCAGGAAGAGGTCCAGGACAGTGGAGGAGGAGATGGAGGTGGCTGGTGTTCACGTCTGGCCACTGGGGACAGGAGCGCTGGGCGGGGACAGCTGAGTCGGTTGCTCTCCATGGACGCCCCTGGCCTTATAGCTCTAGTCAGAAAGAATCCTGTGGCCTGCATCACACGTCCAAGAGCTGTCCTTCTCTGACTCCAGTGGCCAGCCGCAGAGCTCCTGAGGGACAGGTGTCCAGGCCCCCTCCCCGGCCTCTCATGGAAGCGGAACTCCCCCGCCCTCTCTGGAGGGCGCCTTCAGGTCATCTTGCCTGGTGCCCACAGCCTTATCCGCCAGCCCTGACACCCTCAGTTCTCCGACATCACACTGTCACACCAAGGTGCCCTGTCACCTGGTCCTTGTGACTTTCCCTACACTGGCCTCTCACTCCACCCAGCACCAGGGAGCCAGGCCGAGAGCCACCGCTGCCCGTTGCTGGTGGACCCCCTGGGGCGGGGTGCTTAGACCTAGAGGTGCTCTGTGGCCTCCGAGGTCCCAGCACTGCCCTGGCCAGGCTGAGCGCTCACGTCCAGGGACTCCCTCCCTCACACTGTGGAGTGCTGTCCAGGGCCACAGGGCTCCTCCCCTGAGCTGGGGGAAGCACTCCCTGCAGGGTGGAGACCGGGGTGTCCGGGGTGTCCGTGCCCTCAGGGCTCAGCTCCGCTCACAGGGCCTCTGTGGTGCTGCTGTGAGTGTCTGTCACAGCGCCTGTCCCTGGGGGGGCCAGGCTTCACCTGTTGCTTGACCGCCTTGGCGGGGAGGGTTCACTGCTGTCCCCGCGTGGCCAGCGACCCTTCGTGGATGGTTTAGTTTAGGGGTGATCAGAGCCGCAGGTGCAGGTGGATCCTCACTGTGTGTGCACCCCCAGGTCCACCTAGTCCCCTTGTGGTTGGGGTCTCGGCCGCCGCCGCTGTCCTCCTGGGCCTCTGCCTCCTCCTCCTGGGCCTCTGCCTATGCCGACACCGAGGGCAGCGTCGGGCCAGACGCAGTATGTCCTGGGGCTGAAGGTGAATCGGGGAGGACTGTGGGCCGGGGCTGGCTGCTCCTTTCCAGCCTGACCATTGTCCCTTCCTAGGGGTGACTGACGGTGGGACCAAGAGCCCAGTGTGGGACGTGAGGTAGGACAGTTCAGACTCCCCCAGTAAAAACCTCAGAGATCCTCTGAGTCCTCTCGGGGACTTTCCATGACGCCCCTCCTCCCTTCCCCTCAGCTCCAGCCCTGCCTCTGACGTCCAGCGGGGAGATGCAGGTGAGTGGACCGGAGCAGGGCGGCCTGTGTGGGGCGGGAGCCAAGCAGCTGGAGGCCTGGGGCAGGGCAGGACAGGAGCCAGCTCCACCCTGCCTGGGGCCATTACTGTCCCCTGGAGAACTATTGCTCCGAAACCTGGGAGGTGGGACCGGGTCGTTTGAGGACTGTCGTGTAGGAGGTCCACCCTCTCATCTGCCCTTTCAGATGACACCGAGCACAGGGAGCATGGACAGCTGGACACACAGGTGAGCCCTCCCACCACTCCCTCTCCTCCCAGCCCAAGCCCAGGTGCCCGCTCCACACGTGTGCCTCCCCGTGGCAGGCCCCTGCGGCAGGAGGCCCACAGGAGGTGACCTATGTCCAGCTGCACCCAAGGACCCTCACCAGGAGTGTGGGTCCACTTCTGTCCCGAGCGCCCCAGGACGGGTCAACACAGCCCTGTGTGTATGCCACGCTCACCTCGCCTTGAGAGGACAGCAGGGCTGGCTGAGTGGACGGCAGTGCCCAGGTGCCGCTCCGTGTCCCTCAGCGCCAGCCACCAGGTGGGAGCCCTGAGACTCGGAGAGAGAAGCTCGTGCACTGCCGGGAACCCCGGGGGCTCTGGCACAGTTCCCGCTCCTGGCAATTCGCACCAAGTGCTTCAGAGGAGCCTGCTTGGGCTCCCGTGGGGAGGGGCGGGTGGCCGGGCAGGCCTCCTCTAAGGGACTGGCTGCAGCTGCGGGAGGCCAGCCTGCCCTCCAGCCCTCAGGAAGCAGACAAGTGGCCTGAGGAGGACCCTGAGTCTTCCGCAGCTGGACGTTGTGGGTGGCGCTGCAGCACGCTGGTCACCGTGCTCCCCGGGGGGGGGCAGTCCATTCTGCCCACTGTGATCCCAAGGGGGACCTGGCTCACGCGGGGGCTTGGCCTTCAACCCCTTCAGCCCCCGTGGCTCTCCCCGTGGCTCTCCCCGTGGCTGCAGCCTCCACAGGCTCAGGGGCAGGGTCCCCTTGTCACCCTCCCCCACATGCCTCAGCTCCTCAGTGGCATCTCGAAGTGGCCGGTCAGTGATGGGAGCACCTCTTTGTGTATCTGTCGGCCATTCGTGTGAGCACCTCTTTGTGTATCTGTCGGCCATTCGTGTGAGTCACAGAAATAAACAAAATTCAGGTCCTTTGCTCGTTTAAAGACCAGGCTCTTTGTGTTTCTGCTGTCGAGTTGTGTTGGAGAGTGGACATGGGGACGTCTCTGTGCTCATGACTCAGTACCGCTCAGCCTTTAAGGAGAAGGGTGTCCTGCAGCTGCCACGGCAGGATGGACCTGGAGGACGTCAGGCCGCGACAGAGCAGCCGGGCGCAGAAGGCAAAGGCTGCACCATCTCAGGGATACGTGGCATCTGAACAGACAAGGACGGAGGCTGGACACACAAAGGCTGAGGGTAGAACAGGTGTTATAAGGAGCAGGGTGGGGAGGACGCGGGGAGACGCGGACGGTCAAGGCTGAGGTCCAACGTCCAGTGTGAGGACTGGAGTGAACAGCACTCAACTGGGTCAGGATTTTTGCCAAGTGGTTAGATTGTATCGCTGTTGCCACACACAGAACCGTTGACTGTGAGATGGCTGGGCGCAGCGAGCCACCCCCCAAGTCATTGAGGGCCCAAGTCAGTGGATTCCACATTCTGCAAAAGGGAGCTTATCCTGGCCGGGCTCGGACACACCGCCCTTCAACACAGCCGGGACCCCTCCTGGGGTGCGGCTCTCCTCCAGGACCCAGGGGCGGGGCCACGTTGTGAGCCGGAAGCAAAGTCCTCCAACAATCCGGGAGCTCGGGAGTGCATTCTTGCCCCCAGCGAGCCCTGAGAGGAGGAGGTGGCCCTGCTGAGACCAGTGCAGGCCTGAGACCCTGAGGGAAGAACTCCCCTACGCCTGGCCCATGTCGTGGGAATTCAGTGCACAGCCTCAGAAAACAGCATGCTCTCCATCTGCCCTGCCATTGCCCAAGCTCCTCGGGCTCCCTGGGTTCTGTACCCGGGGGCTGCCCGATGTGCAGCAGGTGCTCAGTAGATAGTTGCTGTTTTGGAATGAACAAAATCCATGACAGTGTGTGAACAGCCCAGTTGTCAAAACGTCAGCCTGATGTAAACCCACCTGCTCCCCCCGAGGCACCAGCGGACACTCTCACAGGAGGGCTTGTGGGGTACATGGCCTGTGCCCTGGGCGGTGAAGGAACCGCTGCCGGGTCCTGCTGGCCACTCCTCTAACCATGGCGGGTGGCCCACGGCCGGCCAGGCTGTCTGTCGGGTGGAAGTGTTACTGCTCCGTGGGTTCACAGTCCTGCTGTGGACCTCGGGTGTGCGTGGTACCACCACAGAGCCAGCCGTAAAGCTTCGACTGTGCTGTGACCTGGGAGGGAGACTCTGTGCCCCCAGACACCCTGATGGGGGTCCTGGCCTCAGGAGTCTGGAGCCGGGCACATCCTGCTGAGGGGACGTTCTGGGTGCTCAGCCCACCTCAGAGGCTGCGCTGTGCTGGGTCCAGCAGCCGCGTGGCCTCCACACTGAGACCACAGAGGGCAGCACCTCCTGCTCACTGAGCCTCATCACGGCTCTTGGCCTCTGTGGACTCGCGGTTCAGAGTGGAGAACCCCGGACAAGCCCCTGCATTCCCAGGACCTCAGAGACACGCCCTCTGCACCATGTGCTGGTTTCTCTTTGGTGATCTGACTGACGATGATACAGGACGTCTGGGAGAAAGGTCCACCCTGCAGAATCCAGAGGAGGGGCCCGGGCCAGAGGGGAGGGGTCAGCTTTCCAGGAAGAGGTCCCAGTATCGAAGTGGACTCCAAGTCCCTGGATGGTCTGGGTTCGGATTCTGCACCCTTGGTCTCTCCCCAGAGAACTCTGGCAACCTCTGACACATTGTCTGTGGCTGGCCCAACCGGAAGGGGACTCCTGCTCGCAACACCTAGTGGGGGGCTGTGGCTGCCACTCAGCAGCCTGTCTCCAGGAGGCCCTCTTGGCCCCAACAGGGGTGCCCTGGACAGTAGTGCTGAGGTCAGACACCCTGATGTGACCCCTCCAATCTGCAGCCCCAGCTGTGTGCACGCTCACTTCCAGCCGCATGAGCACGCCCCTTTCCTCAGGGCCTTTGGGGATGCTGTCCTCCACGGGGCTCACCAGCTGGCCCAGGGCAGACGAGACGGTGAGGCTCAGGGTGGAGAGGCCCGACACCACACCCGCTGTTGTTCCTCAAATCTCTCTGCCACCTGCCAGGACCCCAGGCATCCCCACTTCCTATCAAAGCGCCCTGAAGCCTTCCTATCAAGGGTCCCCAGATGCGTTCCACCAGCACCTTGTGCTTGTCCCGTGTCTGCACGCATCCCACCCTTGGCAGGAGTGTAACGGGCCCAGCTGCCGTGGAGGACAGCAGGAAGGTCCTCAACAATCAGGAACGGGATCGGTCACAGGCACGTTTTAGGTAGACAGGACGAGTAGGTTATAGCAGGTATTAGAATGTCATTCCTGAAGGACAAATCATAGACCAGGCTATCTCTATCTCTGCCTGTCTGTCTGTCTCTCCATCTGTCAATCATCTAGATATCCCATTTTGCTTACCCAAACCCTGTGCATGGACACTGGGTGGCTTCCACCTTTTGGCCACTGTGAGCATTCTGCCATGAACACGGGGGTACAAATACCTCCTCAAGGCCCGGCTTTCAACCCTTCCGGGCTCGTGCCCAGAGGTGGACTTGCTAGATCACAGGAATCCCATCTCTGTCTGCCCCGTCACATTGCTGCCGGCAAGGCGGGCACAGGGCTCCACGTTCTCTGCCTCGCCATTTCGTAAGTCACAGCCCTCCTAGCAGGTGTGCAGTGAGACCTCATGTGGCCTGGATTTGCGTTCCCCTGGTGACAGCGGGAGTATGGGACACAGGCCAGGCCACAGCAGGCCGGCAGGGATGGTGGGGCAGTAAGCTGGCAAGAGGAGATAAGGGGCCTCCTTGGAGCCCGTGTGCAAGTCATTCTCGGGAGGAGACAGCTCAGCCTGATGAGCCTCAATTAGGAAACCCGGGGGCTGGGCGGGGAGGGGCCTCTCCATCCTCACTGCACCCTGAGCCTCTGCTCCTGCCTCCACCACGGAGCTCTGCCCAGGCGCAGCCGCCATGTCTCCATCCTTGACTGCTCTCTTCTGTCTCGGTGAGTCCCCAGGGGTGACTGGGCGATGCCGAAGGGCAGGCACTGCGCCCCTGGTGAAAGAGGATCAATGACCCCCGCGAGATGAAGCCCCCCTGGGGCGCACGGAGCTCGCGGCTGCTTCTCCTGCTCTCCACCGGCTGGTGCTGGGCACCTGGTGCCGTCATTTCCTATGGCTCAGCCCCGAGAGGCTAAGCAGGCAGCGAAGGACTGTGTTCCGAGGACGAGGGGCAGCCAGGGCCCTTGACTTGCTCCCGCGCTGGCCCTTGAGCACACTCTCACCGCGGGTGACCTGCGGTTCTGGGTCGTTTCCTTCCCTTTCTAAGACACTGAGCCCTGGAATCCTCCGTGGCCCCACGAGGCAGGCCCTAGAACCTCCCTCATTTTACAGTGTGACTGGGACCGGAGGGTTAAGTGACTTGTCCCCACAGCAAGGACTCAGATACAAACTAAGGAATTTTGCCACCAAATCCAGGCTGGGTTTTAACTTTTCCCCTTATATTTGACGGGGGTGACGGGCTGAGCGTTTCTTGCTGACGACAGCTGCATGTGTCAGTAGTGCACAGCATCATGGTGTTTCCATACCCGAGCTCCTTGGGGACTGGCTGACTCGGGCTAAGTCACATAGCCATACCTCTCAGCTGAATTTTTAAAATAGTGAGAACATTTAAGATCTATCCTCAGGGATTTCCAAGAGTCAACCCGTGGTTAGCCCTGGGCGGTGGGTGCCCTGCAGGGTGTCTTCCCCCAGCCCTGGGGGCCCCGAGCTGCAGCCTGCTGTTTCTGTGGGTTCCCTGACCCACGTTCTTTACCACTAAACTATGCTGCTGGTGTTAGGATCCATCTGCCGCGGCTGGGGACTGTGGGCAAGACCCTGTCTCAGTGGCCTGATAATGACACAGGACAACACTGGTGCCCAGCACTAGCACCCTGGGGGCTCAGGGCCCACCTTGGGAAATTGGCACAGCGCCTCTGCTGAGAAAGTCAGTGCCCAGCGCCCCAGACCCTGACAGCAGGGGTCAGTGTGCACCCAGTCCCCGCGGCTCTGCTCAGGGTCTGGGAGGGGTTGCCCATGGCAGGCAGAGTCCATCTTTGACTTAAAATTTTAATTGTGGTCGAATGCACATAGCTCAGAATTTCCCAGGAGTGACATTCAGTCTGTTCAGGGTGTCGCAGACCGGCTTCTGGTTCAGAGACCTGTGCCCACCCCCCTCCCCCAGGAAACCCCAGCCCCAGGGGATTGCCCCGTCCCCTGGGTCCTGCCCACAGGGCCCTGGAGGCTTGTGTCGGTGGATTTAGTTGTTCTGGACTCTGTGCAATACCATCCCCAGAGTGTGTCCTTAGGGACTCGGCTTCCTTCGCGTAACAGTGACGGGTGGCTTTGGAAAAACTGAAATACAGTGAAAAGCGAGTGGGGACGGGAGGCGTCCGCCAAGGAGTCCCCAGCGCGGGTTCTCTTCTCTCCCCAGGGCTGTGTCTGGGGCGGTGGGTGACCGCAGCGCAGAGTGGTGAGTGCTTCTCCGCAGGCCCTGTGTGACGGGCAGGCGCAGTGTGGGGCCCAGAGGGGCCTCTTTGTTCGGCCACTGACCTCGGTCACACATCCCTTCCAGGCCCCCTTCCCAAGCCCTCCCTCCGGGCTCTGCCCAGCTCCCTAGTGCCCCTGGAGAGGTCGGTGACCATCTGGTGCCAGGGGCCTCCGGGCGTGGACCTGTACCGCCTGGAGAAACTGGGATCCAAGAAGTACGAGGACCAGAACTTCCTCTCCATCTCGGCCATGAAAACGAGTCACGCGGGGCGCTACCGCTGCTCCTACCAGAACGGGTCCCAGTGGTCGCTCCCCAGTGACCATCTGGAGCTGGTCGCCACTGGTAACTGGAGGGTGGGGGATGGAGTGGTAACTGGAGGGTGGGGGATGGAGTGGATTCAGGGCCGCCCGCCTGGGTCTGAACTCATAATCTTGATTTTTAAAATACTTTTATTTATTTATTTTCATGTGGTGCTGAGGATCCAACCCAGTGCCTCACAGGTGATAGGGCATGCTCTGCCTCTGAGCCGCGACCCCAGCCCCTGCATGCAACATGTTTTTTAAAAATCAAACATTCATGCAGAAACGCCCATGATGGACAGAAATCACATCTGCAGGGACGGCCCTGCAGGGCTCTGGCCAAGCCTGCTGCAAGCGGAGGCCACAGGAACAGCGGCCGGCCGTGCCTCCCAGCCCCAGCGCAGTTCTTAACCACACTTCTCCGGGGGTGGGGAGGGGGTTGCGTTGTCCGGAGCTTGCTTCCAGGACAGCCCGTCTGAAGATGAGAACTCCTTCTTTGGGGGGAGGTATAAACAAACATTCAAACTGAGAACGATGTGGATTTTCATCATCTACTTGATTTTTCAGTATTTTTCAACCTGTTAATCACTTGGACAAAATCAAGATTTGCCCCTCCCTGGGTGCCGGCTGGCCGTGTGCCTCCATCCCACGTCCCCTCCTGCTGTCTCTGCCTGCCTCTGGGGCCCGCCAGCCCGGCCTCCTCGCCACTTCTTTTGGGGTCCACCTTGAAGGCTGTATTCCCCTTGAGTATTTCCCTGGCCCCTACCTAAAACTGCACCGTGACCTTGGAGGGTACCGGATGGGCCACGCATCTGCCTGTTTGCCTTAGTTGTTCTCTAGTTTTTTCCCACCTGATGGGATTTTTATTTGTTAGAACTGACACGTGATCATCGTTTCAGAGATAAAGAGCCGGGTGTGGAGGCGCCCGCCTGCGATCCCAGCAATCTGGGAGGCTGAGGCAGGAGGAGGACGAGTGGGAGGCCAGTCTCATCAACTTACTGAGGCCCTCACTCAAAATAAAAAGTAAAAAGGGCTGGGACGTGGCTCCGTGACGGAGCGCCCTTGGGTTCAATCCCCAGCATGACCTCCCCCCTCAAGAAAAGGGAATAACACAGAGAAGTGTTGAAGGAGTGAACGGCCCACAGTTACCAGGGTTGTGCATTGCTCTTTGCCTTCGTGATCCTGTGTGCCAGGCATGTG